AAATTCAAGTGCAGTGCTCCTCTCTGCTTGGCACACAAAGTAAAAGTGCCAAATGTTGACTGTATCTCTTCCACGCAGAAGAGAGAGCTTAGCAAGTCCTGCTCATTCTCCAGAGGGAAGTAGTACCACACGTGGGGACATCCTGGACCCTGGAATGATCTTGCTGTTCTTGCAAGTTACTGTAAATGTCTGAGAAGCAGCTATTCTTCGCGTTCATTCTCGCACGTGATCGTTGGCTAAGGTGTTGACAGTAAGTTGGCAAAGCCTGGAGCCATTGGCCTCGCTGCACATGCACGGTGTAACTGAGCTTTGTGTGCTTGGTGGCCCTGTACTCTGGATGGCCGGTGGCCTTCGTGGAACTTCTGCCAGTGCTGGGAATGCTTGTGGGGTAGCTGCTCTTCTCCATGGGCTGCTCTCTGTCAGGAAATCCCAAGCAGGTTGTCTCTACTGGCAGAAGGCTCAGGGGTGACAGGGAGGAGGGAAATGTATCTAAGTCAACCTAAAAACTCTTGTAAACTTATTTATATGGAAAGTATTCTGAAAATTCAAGGAAACGTATACTGATGATATCTATGGAGTTTCTCACCTCCATCCTTATTGAAAAGTGGAGAAGTCCAGGATAAATCGTCAGTAATTCTAAATACCATACTTGCAAGTTAATGCAAACATCTAAGAAGCTGCTATTGCCCGTGTTCGTTCTTATCCACAGACTATTGTTTTGATGTTTATAAATGGTAAATAAAGACATGGATATTGTTGATTAAATTGTTTTTTTTGAAATACAGTGGCATCTCTTTGAGTGTAACAGCTTGAAAAGCACGTGAGCAGAGCGAGGAATGCTGAAAAAACAAGGCTGTAGTCTTGTAGTCTTTTGGAGTAAATTAAAAGAAAAACATGAGGAATGGCTTCTTTTTCTCTGTTATGGTAAAGTTTAGGAAGACTAAATGACAAAAAAGGAAAACTGATAGAAGAAGATCTGGCTGACACTATCTGTATGCTTAGGGACTACATTTTTCAGAGAGCTTACACTTAATGCACTTAAAAGTGAGAAAACAGTGGTAGTTAAAGTAAGAAATTTTATATTTTTCTGTCTCTATTTTTGACAGACCTTTCTAAAATATCTTTGTGATGGCAGCTTGTTTGACTGCTGTAGAACAGATGTTACAGAGCAGGCTGGGTCCCTTGAAGTTTTTCTTGTAGTGTGCTATATTAAAAAGAATGGAAGGAAATGAGAGTATAAAACTGTTGTTCTTCTAGCTGAAGAGCTTATTGCTTGCAGATACTTGCATATACCCCTCCTTTCTCATTGCCATCACTCCTTGCAGCGAACTCTTTTGCAGAGTTGGAATACATCAGTTTCAAAGAGGAGGTGGCGATTTGTGCAACTGAGTGCATTGGAAATGGCAGAACGTTGTTGCATAAACTTGGAATTGAAGCAGGGAGTGTACCTGGATCAGTAACAAGCATGAAACATCAGGTTATGATGGCAAGAAAAGAATTCTAGTTATCTGATTATCAAAACAATTTTGTACAGCATATAGGCCTCTCCGACTTAAAAATTTTGAAAGAGCTTGAGTCTACTTAAATGTAGGAGTGTAAAGAGATCCCTACATAAAGTGATCTAAGCATAGGTCATGGAAGTAATCTTTTAGTGGATAAGATTTTGCTGCTATTGAGCAGGTAGTAAAGTTGTGGTATTTTACAAAAGCAGATAATTTTTATTAAATGATGAGGGCATACACAGCTAGTTAAACATTTTATGATGTGTTTCACCTCCTATTGTAGACTGTTTCCTGATCACTGGTATTTGCAAATAATGAAAGAGGCTGTAGGGCTTGTGTGAGGATACTGTGTTGTGCTGAGCCAACCATCAGTACAGCTCCAGCAGTGCATGTTAATTTTGAATGAGAATTATGTGCCTGTTCAGAAAACCAAACATCCTAGGCACTTGAGAAAAACCTGCTAGGCTAGGTTTTCTTTGTAAAATGACCCTCGAGCTGGGGCAGATCCACAGAGGCATTTAAGCTCCTAACTCCCATCTCAATAACAAAAATTGGCTTGAAGTATGTGGGGAGGTAGAAATCAAACACATATTTTTGAGAAACTTGGCCCTGTTATACAGGTCATTGAGAATAATTGTAGTGCAGCTTTTAAGGAAATACTGAGTTGCGCTTAGGAAATCTCTTAATAGAGTTGACAAAGAAAATAAACATCTGCTGAAAGCTTGTAGGGAGGCTGTGTGTCAGTTCTTCACATCCTTTGCATCTCACCATTTTCTTTTGTTAATCCTTCTTGCTTCTGTTTGCATATTGTTATTGTTACATAGTTCTTACAATATAGCATTAAAAAAAAAATCCAGGCTTTTACAGTAGACTGTAACTCCTTGTACAGCTATAGAGCAATACAGCTTTCATTTAGAAAACTCTGTCACAAATCTCACAGTTTGGTAGTGTAGGCAGTGAGATGAAAATAATAAACCAGAAGGGATTCTGTAGTATCTAAATCAGTGCAACAGAAAAAGCTGCAAACATTTTGCCTGCAGTTGAAGTGGGTAAGCAGAAAGAATAAAGGCGTGAGGGGTGGGTGGGTGAGAGGGATTAGCACAAAGCAAGTAAGATTTTAAAGCTTGCTTGACTCTTATCATTCATATTAAAAGATAGTTCCTCAGAAAGTAGCCATTAGTCTACCACCAGGCACTGCAGAAGTCACTACTAGTTGGCTCTGTTTAGTCTTTAACCCTGTTACCCCAGTATTAGTCATCATTGCTGATTTCTTAGCAGGTACTCAGTAACAAGGAGGATGACACCAAACCCTGGCTTTACCATGTACTAAAAGCATTTGAGGAGGGACCTGGTGAGGATAGCAGTGTAAGGGTTCTGAGGAACAGTACACAATTAAGTGTGTTATTTCACATGGCCAAATCTCAGTACAATGCTGTGTTCTTCAGAGTCGGCATCAAAGAAATGCTTCTTTAGGAGAACTGTTCCTAAGAATGAGTTTGTGGAAGAAATATGATCCTGATGGATTTCAGTTATTTAAGTGTCCCATGGCATGATAGAATAAATCTATTACTGTTCATACTTTCAGTTCCATTTCTTTATTTAAATATACGTGAAGTGTCACTTGGAAGTTTCCCCAAATGAATAATGTCCTTACTGAAATCAAGTGAACAGAGAACATGCTTGAATATTCGAAGATGTTCCCTTCAAAAAGCAAAAAAGTAAATCTTAAGAAAAAAAGCTTATGGTATAGCTGGAGCTTTTTATGATGTCTTTGATAGGGTGAGGAGGTTGAGAGTTTTAATTCACCTTTCTTCACAGCTAAATGTTCTTCTAGTCTTGTCTTTTCTATTCACTCCCACGACGGAGTAGGACACATGGATGACTGTGCCCCCACCCGTTTTTGTTTCAAGGGAAGGTTGCTGCCTGCCTTACCATGCCAAGGGAGCTGTGTTTGTGCTTAACGATCATGCTGTGAGGACTTTGCTGCTACCTTATCCTCCTCACACTGTTGCTTCTCAGAAGAAAACATCTCGAGAATTGGGTTGTACAATAAATGAAACATGCTTACAAGAAATACACTGTGAAACTGTTGGGGTTTTTCTTTTGTGAAACAAATTTCCTTACAGATAAGAAGTGTTCTTCAGTGAGGAGAGGATGAGCACATGATTGCTTATATTCTTGTAGTCTACAAGACGGACAATAGCTTTTCCAGCTCTACTTTTACAATGAAGAAGCGAGTTTTTTAATCTTCAGATAAAAGTTGGATTAAATCAATCCAAAACAGTGATGCAGGATGCCCAACCTCACCTTGCAGTAAAACTAAGGTGAACAGGGTATTTAACATATTCATTATTTCTATACAAGAAGTTATTTTGCCTTTTTTTTTAATTGTTTTTTTTATTTTTAGAGCACTATGGGTAAGCTTTGAAACTGGAGGAATGCGAGAAGGTGCTTCACTACAAGATTAAAGCAGAAAACCTATAGCTCTAAATTACCATGCAGCAGAGAAAGTAGTGGAGCTGGTTTGGGAACTTCAGTATAATTGGATATTATTTTGCTGTTTAATGTTAAGCCTACATGTAAGAATTAATCTTTCAAGGTTCTGACAAGGGAATGTAGAAATTATGCAAATTGCGTCCTGTGGTGGCAATTAAAACAGGCAGACTTCAGCCTTGGCGTCAACATGTGCAAGTGTCTTGCAGAAACTGTCCCCTCTTTGTACCTTAATCACTCTGTCCCAGCATAGGAGGCTTGAATGATTATCAGGATGTATTTAACCATATCTTTTTTACAGGAGGTTGTAGAATTGTCCGTTAAATTTTCCATATGTTTTAAGAATCTTGCAATTCTTTGTACTGTCAGGGTAAATTGTTTATGATCCTTGGAGTGATCAAAGATGTGGAGAACAAGGATTTAGCAGTTACTTCATTATCTTTTTAACTGAAATCAGAGAATTTATTTCCGTATGCCCTTTACCAGAAGAAGAACTGTATAAACGTGCATCTTCTGTTTTGCGTCTGCTTAAACCACTGCGGGGGAAGATGTGTGGGATATTGTATTTACCTTCTTATGTGAGAATCATTGAATGTTTTAAAATTTGCCTGTGAGTTGAGAGCAGTTTTGAAGCCTTTCATCCCAAACGGGAACTTCCATAGAAATGCTGACTTCGGGGTTTAAAAGAACCTGGCTATACTGGTTCTAGATAAACTATTGCTGCAGCTACGCCATAAATATGAGTAATAGTCTTGGTCTGAGACTCGGTAGTGCAAGTGGCCTGCTGTCTTTTTCCAGTAGTCAGGCACTCTGTGGTGAGCCACAAAAGACAAACATTAAACCAATTAAGGGAGAGCTTACAGAAATATAGCTGGTATTATTTGGTACATCTTCTAACATGGAAATACTTTTGCAGAACTACAACCAATAGTTGGAGGGAGGGGAGGGCTCTGTGTTTGTTTCTTTTAAAATACATCTTGTTTTCATCTTTGAATTTTTTCGTAGACCTCAGTAAAGTCATGAATTCCGCTCCAAATATGAAGGCTGTGAATGGAAAAGCTGAAAGTAGTGATAGTGGAGCAGAATCAGAAGAAGAAGGGCTTCATGAAGAGGAAGAAAAAGAACTGCAGCTAAATGGAAAGGGTATGTTTTCTGCACTTGGACCATTGTCTCTTCCAATGTTAACCACCTAAGTGGAAGAAAATCCCAAAGGATCATGAATGCTGCACTTCTTCAGGAGAATTAGATGCAAATACATGTGGAAGCATGTCTGAAAAATGGCAGTGTCTCAAACTGGGTTGTAAGATTCAGAACTAGTACAAATTTGTGAGCTATGGCATACAATTTTTTACTTGGTTAGAAAGTTCTGTCAGGAGGTTACCTGAAGGTCTATACCCTGTATTATTTTGGTTTTTGTTGCCAATGCTATTTGGAAGAGCTGTGAATGGCTACATGGCCTGTAACAGTAGAATTGAAAATCACTATTTTCTTCAGAGAAGATAAACCAGAACTTTCAGTGAGGTTTGTTTAGGAGGTCCATAAAGAGTTTTGATTACGTATTTAGATTTCCGTACAGGTTTTTTTTCTTCCAAGGACATCAGGATTATTTTTTAGTTTATCAGAGACACCTACTTTGGATTTGCTTACTTATGTTTTAAATATCATCTGCTCTTTATGCAAATTAAATTTTATATTTACACTTTTTACAAGAACAGAACAATCCATGTGAATGTGAATCTAGGATTATTTATATATTTTGTTCTGCAGATAGATATACATAGGGTCCGTTAGAAAGTTAACTGCTTAAAGAAATGTGTTTTCAGCTATTGGGTGTAGCTTTCTATTTGCAAGATTTTCTTGTTCTTTTACAGACTATCAGAATGTGAAACCAGAATCAGCAGCTGCTGAGGATTTGGAAAGTATTGTTATTAATGGCTGTTATGAGGACAGCTTTATCCCAGAGATGCAGAATGGCGTCCAGACCAAATCTGCCCTGAATGGCTTGAACCCAGAAGAAGAAATAAAGAAAACGGAGCCAAGTCTAGAAATAGCTAATAACAGTGCTGACCAAGGTATTGTCTTTGCAAGACAGTGTCTTCATTTGCACATTTTTTGTGGAAAATACGTGTTTTCTTGACAGCTTAGTTCTGGGATTCACAGACTAGCAATGGTGTCTTTTAGTTGTAGGAACTTGAAGAAAGAATACTCCAAAAAAAAAAAATTAATACCAATTTAAAATAAGGCTTCCTTTTAGGATCTCCTAAAGAGAGAGACGTGAACTCAGAGAGGCCTAAAACCACAGAAATACCTTTTTTTTCTTTGTAAATCATTATACTACCTGTGCAAATACTGTTTGCCTTTGAAAGCTATTTTGTAATGAAATGAAAATCATTAATATCTTATTTGTCATTTTCAAAGACTGAACATATTATGAAGGCCAGTTTGTTAAGACTGATGTCTAAATATGTAATTTTAAAACTGACGGATAACTTTAGGCAAAACTGCTTTATACTGAGCTTAGGAAGGAGAGTGGAATGAACAAGATAAAATTCTCAACTTATAATGCAGAAATGCCAACATGAGGTATAGTTTTCCCATTAGTAAAAGTTTTATGTCATTCCTGTATTAATGTAACCTCTTTATTAAAAATCTAACTTTAGGGACAGTTGTAGATAAAAGGGTCATGAGTTGAAGCTCACCCAGACATTTTAACTCTTTGCCACGGTTGGCTCACATTTATAAAGCACGTGTGCATATCTCCTTTCAATATAGGTGCAAATGAAGAGAGTACTGAAGAGGTCTCAGCAGCTCAGCACTTAACCAGTGATTCAGACAGTGAAGTTTATTGTGACTCTATGGAGCAACTTGGACTAGAAGAGGTAGGGGCTTAGTGTTCCTAGATGTATTTTGAAACTGGCATGCTTATTTTTAAATAGGTTGCTGTCTACCAGGTGAACCTGGACATGCAGAGGTGAATGAAGTAACTCATGCGTACTTTTCTCCTGTTTGGGCTGTCGGTTTTTGTTCTTTTTATTGTCAGTCTTTTACAAGTTGGTTACGAGTGATCTAAAAGCCTTGAAATTTTTGCCCTCAGAGGATTTATGTGAGTGGAAGGTATCAAAAACAACAGTACAAAGAAACTAAAGGCCATGTCCACAAATGAATTTAGGGTCTCGTAACTTACGTAGGGACCAGAATCCAGCTACCTCTAAGAAGCAGAGAGTGAGCTTTCTGCGTGCTCTTTTTCTGTTCTGATGGATGCTGCATTTTGTTTCTTGGAATAAATAAAGAGTAAGCCTTTGCAGGTGGCCTGTATGCCAGTGCCTGAAAGTGGCCTAGGTCTAAAGAAGTGGGAGATGACACTGATATCTGGGTTCTCTTGTACTCTCTTCAGCCGTAGTGTCCATCTCTGACTTTCATAGAAAATGTGGGCACCAACTGTGCTGCCATAGTTTTGACTGAATTTGTGTTCAGGCTCATTGTATTAACTGTAGTCTAAGTTGACTTACTGGCTTGGACCTCCTTCAGAGGTCCAGTTTAAGTGTGGACTTTGTAGATTGTACTCTAACACCTGGTATCCTCATTCTGGGGAGGAATATGTGAGTGATGCATGGGATCAGGAGGACCAGTAAGCACTCTAATATTGCATCGTTCTTTCATCTAGGTCTTTCTTGAGGATCTAGGGAATTCGTTTTAGCAAATCAAAATTTTACCCAGTAATGAAGCATGTTGGGAAAGGTGATTTGGTAGAAGTGCTGCAAACTCTTTTATCTAGGTGATTTCCCAATCATCTTGTGTATCGTTTGAGCTTGTTTGAGATTCTTTAATTGAAGTGGGTGGATAATTTGTCAGAATTTCCCAACCTGCATGAGAAGAGTTCTAGTTTTGAACCAAATAACAAATGTTCAGGTAAATAAATATACAACTAGAACTACAGATGGATCAATTCGAACTAGAAGAGGTTCATTTGGGGAATTAAATACAGCTTTTTATTGGAAAAGATTTACCAAACACAGTGTCCTTCAGTTCTGATGGTACAGGTTTATGAACTGCTATTTGACAAATGGATTTTGGCAGCAGTTTCCATTTCTTTGCCCCTCCTTTTGGTTATTTTAGCTTTTTCATGGGGTTATTTTTTAGCTAGCTGTGGTCCCCAGTCTGCTTCAGCATATAGTTGTGCAAGCACTTGTCCTTGCACTGAACAAAGGGTTGCTTGAACCGCCTTAAGGCAGCCCTGTTGCAGAACATGCAATTGTGACCTGATCAACGCTATGTCGTCCATTTTTAATACCTTCCTACGGTACCACCAATTTTAAGTGAGAAGCTGGTAGAGTACTATGCCTTTCTTTTGTTTGGTGGGAGGTACGGGGTGCAGCCAAGCTTTTTTGAACAGGCTGATAATAAGCAACGTGGTCTCTTTGCCGTGAGTGTAAACGCTGCCTACACAAGGTTGCACATGACTTTCGACAGTGTGGCTCACAAATCTAAGACGGGATACCACTTCACTGTCTAGGAAGCAAAGCCAATTTTAGAAGGGAAAACTGAACATTTTCAGACCTTAATCTTCTATTTTAGTGAGTATTACTGTATGTTGAAAATGTCTAAAGTAATTCCAAGCAGTATCGCTTTTTCGACAATATTTGCCTCAAATGCCTTTTCAATCTGAAAAGGAGATTTAGACAATAGTAAGCACAGGAAAATAACTGCTCCTGTTAAAAGAAAGACTTAACTCTGGGCAAACTATTCGCTTAAAATGGAAGTAGAGATGCTGCTGCTTGATTTTTATTGATTAAGTGTCATATTTTACAGAATTTAATTACTTGCTAATGTTAATTTGTAGCCCTTGGAGATCATCACATCAGCTAAAGGATCTTTAAAGCATTCATCCCATTTCTTGGATGTAGATCACAGTCTTCTGTTAGAAAATACGGATGTTCCAAGGCACGCTTGCATGACTTCCGGGAGACTCCAACCTGGAAATACTGTAGAGGGAGCAGCTCAAGAACAAGGCGAAGTCAAGTGTGGAGGAGAAGATGGCAAAGCCAGTAATGGGGGCCCTCACAAGGAGAAAAAGGGTGGAGAAAAAGCGGATTTCTACAGTGTCAGAAGAGGGAGAGGTACTGTGCATGCTGCTTTTGTAAGTTACTGGTGCCTGAGAAGCACTTGTCAACATTGTCCAGTAAGATAGCCATGCTATATAGTGCTTCTGTCTTTCACAATAAAAATAGATAACAAGATCCTAATTACAGTGGGTAGCAATCAGCTTTGTCTTCGGAGTATTTATTTCATTCATAGCAAGTATTACAAAAGAGTTTTCTTGCGCTGTGAAGATCTTATATAAACATACTGACTTCTGTTTTGGCTTACCTGAAACTCCAGCTGCTGTTTATGGCACCTGTCTTTTTAGAAATGTAATCTTCAAAACCTGTCTATGCATGAGAAGAGTTTCTTTACAAGTTACGTATTTATTTTTAAATGCATATGCATTTATACCTTGATGGTGTCTTATTTGAAACCATGGAACATCTTGGAAAGGTATCAGTGACGCATTGTTTTCTATATAATTGGAGTGTTAGCCACACCTTTGAGTACTTCTGATAATATCTTACGATTCTTAAAACTTAATGGTACTTAATCACATAATAGTCCAGATGGTCAATTTATGTTGGACCTACTCTTTTTAATTCTGTAATATTTCTAATACTGTCACCTAGGAGCAGCACCATATTCCAGTGGTATGATCTGTAAAGTCAAGGATAAAGTTTATTTTTCTTGTACTAAAAAAGAAAAAAAGGCCAGAAAGTATTTTTATTTATATATAGCATGCCTTTTTGTGTGGCACCTATATGAAATCAGATGCAAAAATCAAAAAGAAAATCCAAATACAGCATTTATTTTGAGAACTATTATGAAGAACATATTATAGTTTAACCATCTCCCCTTCTCTCTTTTGTTGTTTTATTTATGTTTGCTACTTGGAGGCGGAAGCATGGTAGGCTAGCTGTATGTAGTTTAAAGGGGTATTGTAGGTTTCAAACAATTATCTTTTCTCACCACTCTATTCCAGTGTTCTTTGTTTTCCAGCTGGAGACTGGGCCAAACTTAAAACAAACCTACCTTTGATAATAAGACAGATCTTACTTTCTTTTCGCTAGGGCAGAACTTACTGCTGAACTTGACTGGATGTGAATTAATAATTTTGTGCTAGATGTTTATGCAGTTCTAGGACCTGGAATGGTAACTGTCACACTGAGGCTGTAGGGAAACATCTCAAATGATGTTGCAGTAACCTCCCAGTGCTTCTGAACTGTCTGAGTACAGCCTATGATTAGGAGTACCACACTCGGTTCAGGAGGGAGAAAACTGAACTGTTAAACATTTTCCGTAGAGTTGGTAGCCCATTCTGTGTTTTATGGATCTATTTTTTTCTCCCTCAACATAGGGCATAGACTTCAGCCTCTAGGAGATGGTTCACAAGGTGGACAGATGGGTAGTGGAGGGGACGGAGAGCGCTGGGGATCAGACAGAGGACCCAGGGGTAGCCTCAACGAACAGATTGCGGTGGTGCTGATGCGGTTGCAAGAAGACATGCAGAACGTCCTTCAGAGGTTGCATATGCTGGAGGCGGTTACAGCATCACAGGTATTATTCAGTGAAGTTATTTGCTTACTTTTTATTGAACTTCCTTGGATATTTTTATGCTTTTTCAGATTAAAATGTCAGACAATATTTTCTTAAACTGTAAAGACATTTCAGTTATATTCTGTAGTTTATTCAAACTTAAAATTTCTTAGTGGTACGTACTGCCAGGAACACAGTTCAGGGCTTTTGTATATGTGAGCAAAACCATGTGTTTTGACCTAGAAATTAACCATATATTGTTTTACTGATTTTTTGATCAGACTAATCTTAGCCATAGTTACTGATACACATTACACAGTTGCTATGTGGAGATTCCATAGTTAATGTTAGTAATACATGATCCCAGATAATTTCTTCATCGGCAGATCTCAAAGCATTTTCAAAGGAAGTGAGAAATTTTCTTAATCTTCCAGACTGGTAAATGTTTGCAGGCAGAACTTCTGATTCAATTTTTCAGTTAACAGAAGACTGATTCTTCATAGTATTCTTTCCCCACTAAGTAATCCAGCTGTCTTGGAATTTCACATCATGTATACAAGATAGGCAAAAGAAGTCTGAAGCAAGTATAGATATTTATTGATGTAGTGTTTCTTTTTCCTTCTATTTCAAAGGAAATACTGTGTATTTGGGAGAATAAAATATGCTGTGAATATAGTTGAACTAGCAGCCTAAAAATGTTTGGTTTTGTTTGACTTGCTAATGTATTTTGATCTACCTGAGAATTAGAGATCTGTACGAGCAGTATCCTATGGGATGCACGTACTCCAAATCTAAGGCAACCAGGGAAAAGGATTTATTAAAACCATCATTTCTCTCTGAAACAGCTATTCAAGAACCTGATGTTTGGATACAGATTGATTTTCTTTATTTGCCTGAGCAATATATGAAGAAATAGTAAAAGATACTCCCCCTGAAGTTCATGCTATGCTTGCCACCCTTACCTAAAGAGAAACAGAAGCTTCTGTTTCACACTTTACATAAATTAAGAAAGACCTAAAAAACCGACTGCTTTATTTTTGTGGAAGTACCACAACAGCATACGGGAAAAGTCTTGAAAAGTTTATGGCACTTCACATTTTCGGGATTGCCTGGCAGATTTGGCACAGAGTATTCTCTTTCCTTTATGCTGCGGATGCGCTCTGAGCTATAGCTACTGGCGTGTCTAAAACAGGGCTTTTTTGCCTTTGTGTAGACTAGTGCTGAAATACATCATCATGCAGAGTAAGCTGCTGGCATTTCTACTCTGGGTTGCAACTGCTGGTACTGGACCAGAGTTGAGGAAGTTGCGATGACAAGTTGGGCAGGAGGGCCTTGAAAAACTGTAAAGAGGTCCAGTAAGTGACACTGATTCATTTTTTAACACACAAAGATGTGATAAAAATGCTGTAAAGAGTAATGGAAACATGAGAGGTAAGCTGGAAACTGAGGTGGTGGAAGGGGGATTGCGTGAGGGTGGTTCTGTTCCTTAAACTGTCATATATACAGATTGCAAAGGCTTCACAAGACGAAAAACTTCATATTCTCATTTTGTGAAGCAGAAAAATTTTAATTGCCATTCCCTTTTTTTACACTTACCAGCCTTTGTTTGTATTTAAAGGCAAAATCTGCAACACTACAGTCAAATTCTGAGCCTTCCGCCTCTGTCAAGGTAAAATATTGGGGTTTCTATTTGTAAAAAGCAGTGTGAATGGTGAAAAAAGATGAGATGAATATTTTATATCCAGCTCTTAGTATGTGCTTTTCATACTGTCTGTCCCTTGACTAGGAGATAAAAAATAATCTGTGTCTGAAGAAATTATTTGATAGCTTAATCTTTTTTTCTGGTCTTACTAGTATTTTCTACTTTGATACTGTAGCATTTGAAGTGTTTTGAGAAGTATACGTGTGGTATTCAATATGTGCGCACAGATTGCTGACTGGAATTTTTTTCTGTTTTCCTTAGAAACCATCATGGTGGCCCTTTGACATTTCTCCTGGTATTTTAGCTTTTGCTATTGTATGGCCATTTGTTGCTCAGTGGTTGGTACACGTGTATCTTCAAAGAAAGCGAAGGTAAAGATGTGCATTCAATGGGGCATATATGCGGTATTTCATCTGTTTAAAGCAGTACAGAGTATATCATGTTACTTAGGACATAAAATACTGCCTTCATGCATCAGAAGAATGCAAGGGTGTGCTCTCAATAAGGCTTTGACAGTGTATCTGAAACGTCAGGTCAGTATCAAAATGGGGAGCTTGATAATCATTGCTCTGATAAATCCTGTTTCCTTGAGTTCTTTGTTTCAAGACATGTCTTGCTTCATGTTCCATTGTATCTATCAGTGATCCATCGCTCTGAAGAGAACAGGCTAAAGCAGATTATACAGTAGAGTCCTTGGTATGGTTATGACAGGAAGGTGCAGGTTTCAGTCCCAAAAGCTCAAGCCAAATGTGCAACAAGAAGCTAGCAGGAGTGCCTTCCATTAGTTGGGAATTATAGGAAGAGGCATAGAGTTTTCTTTGCCTTGAAAGTTGCTCAGCATAAGAAAGTATTGGTTAATTTGACTTTATATGTGGTATGCTTTATATACGGCAATTTAGGTTAAATCCATGAAGCGTGATGCAGAATAAATAATTCAGTGTTGAAGTGATACAAGTGGTTAAGGCTGGAAAGCTTGGAGGTGTCCCCACGATGTGCTTTGACCCTCTCACTCCCAGTGTCTTCCTGAGCCATTTTTACTGCTTCTAGACTCTCTAGTCCCCTTGTGTCATGAGAAATTTTTTTCCTATCAAATCCTTTGCAGGGTCCCATCTGTCAACTATTTCTTATTTAACATTCACTAGCACCTTACTACGATATTCTTGTAATGTCGATGTTGTCTTCCTTTAGCTGAAGGACAGTTGCACTGTCATTTCACCTTCTCTCAACTCTAAGCAAAAGAAGATTAAGTGAATGTTCTGTAGTTGCTGTCTACTTACTTCAGCCACACACCTGACTTTGTTAGCTTAGTATGCTCTTACCTTTTAAGATTTCTCATCTCTGTCAGTCTGCAGAGAGTCTGTGTATGTGTCGATCTTACTAGAATTATCTTAAATTGTTCTAGCTTTTTAATGTTTGACAGTTTTCATGGTATAGTTTTCTCTTTTACAGTAAATCACAGAAATGCGGAATGGTTGAGGTTGGAAGGCATCTCTGGAGGTCAGCTGGTCCAACCCCCCTGCTCAAGCAGGGATGCTTAGAGCTGGTTGTCCAGGACCATGTCCAGACGGCTTTTGAATATCTCCAAGGAGGGAGACTCCACAACCTCCCTGGGTAGCCTGTGCCAGTGCTCATCTCTCCTCATGGGATAGATGCTCCAGCCCCTTAATCACCTTCGTGGCCCTTTGCTGGACTCTCTCCAGCATGTCCATGTCTCTTTTGTACCCAGAGCTGGATATAGCATTCCAGTTGTGGGCTCTCCAGTGCTGTGGGGAAGGATCACCTCCCTTGACCTGTTGGGAGGGATAATGCAGCCCACGATACCATTGGTCGCCTTTTCTGCAAGGGCCTGCTGCTGTCTCATAGTCAACTTGGTGTCCACCAGGACCCCCGGGTCCTTTTCTGCGAAGGTGCTTCCTAGCTGGGCAGGCCCCAGCATGTAGAGGTGGCTGGGGTTGTTCCTCCCCAGGTAATGGACTTTGTGCTTCCCCTTGTTGTACTTCATGAGGTTCCCGTCAGCCGATTTCTCCACCCTGCTGAGGTCCTTCTGGGTGGCAGCACCACCCCCCGGCATATCAGGCATTCCTCGCAGTTTTGTGTACTCTGCCCCATCGTCCAGTTTGTTAACAAAGATGTTAAACAGGACCAGACCCAGTACTGGCCCCTGGCACACACCACTAACTACTGGCCTCCAGCTAGAGTTCTTGTCGCTGGTGGCCACCCTCTGGGCCCAGCCCGTGATGCTGGAAACAGCGCAGTGCCCAGGAAGGCTTTCACCCTGGCAGGAAGTTCCCCTGTCTCTCAGCTGCCATTAGAAGCAGTGGGGTTACCTGCACTCTCTGATGTAACCAGAGATGTCACTACTAGGGCTTTTAGGCAGTTATACCCATTTTCCTTTCTGCACTGGTAAATGGAGATTTCCATTTCATCAGCAAGGAGAAAATTTTTTAAAATCAATATGATTTTTTGAGATCTTAGTGTGAAGCATCCTATGAGCTTCAGTGTTGTTTAGCTAATAGTTCTCAAATGGCCATGTTCTCTCTCTGAACACAGTGCTGTTCTTGTAAACCTTTTTGCATCATCTGTTCTGACCTCTGTAGCGCCCTCAATCAATGCACGGGTTCAGTCAGAAATCAGTTTCTAGAAAAGCACCCTCTCCAGCAATTTTTCTAATATATTGTTCTAATGATTCAGACCTTAAATGAATAAACAAACGGTACATTATTTTTAATTTGGGTTTGTTTAGCTTCAGCTTTCATCCATTGGATTTTGCTAGATCTTTATCTGCTGGAGAAAGAGCCCGTGATGTGTTTCCATGGGTACTTCATTGCTATCACTGGGTCATCTCTTTAATCTCTTGCTTAAACAAAACAGATGGAGCAACTGGAATCTCATTTTAAAGTTGTTTTCCAGTCTTGGGATGATCCTGGTGGCTCTTTTCCAAATGCTCTACAGTTTATCAACGTTCCTTTTGAGTTCTGGACACCAGGATTGTACCACAGTCTACTAACGGTAATACCAGTCAGTGTATCTGTGAGACACAGAGACAGCGTAGCCGCACGTAGTCGTTGTTTTGTTCGCTCATGGGTGGTTTGTATTAAGATGAGATGAACTTCAAGAATAGAAACAGCTAAATAAATTTCTGTGTTCTTTAGTTTTCCTCTTTGTGTCTGAAGAAATCTACCCATAGCCAGAATTTAAGGGCTATCTGCTTCTGCATCACCTTTCTATCCGGAGTTCCATCTCCTTCAGCAGTGAGTAGGAAGTTGATCGAGTACGCTCAAAGAGAAAATGGAATTGCAAAACAAGAGTCCTTCTCTGTTGTCCCATTGCCAGTTTCAGCTCGTGCTCCAAGGTGTGTAAGCCTTTAGGCAGCAGCTGTACACAGAGCATACATTGACCGCATCTGTGTACTTTCGGTTTTAAAGTACATGAACTGTCCTGGAGCAGAAAGCAGGAGTCTGTGCTACCGTGTGAGGTTTTCTCATTGTGAAGCTGTGGAGCTGTGACTCCTCAACTCTTTTGCACAGCAGAGCAAATTCCACGGAACCAGTGGCAGAGGGAAGGCCACCCCTGGCCCACAGCTTAGTGTTCAGCCTGTGTCCTTGGGAAGGGGCAGCTCAGCTCACTCTTCGCACCCTGCTGCGTGGCATTCTGGCTTATTTGGGTCATCTTCTGAGCCTCTCAACCTCTCTGAAGGTTGAACTTGAACACTGAAAATCTGGGTACTCCTGTGGAGCCTTTACTGAAGAAAGCTTGAAAACCTGAATCCTAAGGGCTCTAAAACCAGATGACAGACAGAGATATGTTTTTAATAATAATTGACAGTTGTTTAGATTCAGCTCACGATTTTAGAACATTCTGATTGCACGTTTTCTGGAGTCACTGGAAACCCAGCTCCGAAGTGTTGCTCTGCTGTGAGCCAACAAACCACTGACTGATGTGGTCAGGGACCGTTCGGAGGAATTTCACCTGCAGTTCAGAATTCTTAGTGATATTTTCTACTCCCCAGTGCCAGTTCTGTAAACTTGCTGATTGTTTTGTAACTTAAAAGGGCAAACTTTCAGGTATCTTGAAGCAGTGTTGTATTTTAATGGATTGGAAATCATTCACATGTAGCCTTAATCAATTTGTTTATTTAGACAAATGAAAAATCATCTCTTATGTGAAGTTACATTCAACTAATGTATTTGGTTCCTCTTCTAGGAAACTGAACTGAGAATTCATGACTCTGCTTAAAGACTGCTAGGAGATGGCAGCCCTGGAAAGTGAAGGACTTCTGAATTCTCGTAGAATCTCAGGATCTGGGATGATGTTCCTTCTGTTATAGTAATATTTTGTACTACCTTTGAGCTAAACATTTAAGGACTAACATTACTGAAACTTGGAACGATTCACGGCTCCTAGGTTACAAGTAAAATAAATCTAATAATTCCATCTTCAAAACCATATGAACATTAATTGTTTTGGAGCGTGCTTGTGGATGGACCTTCAGTAATTGCTGGTTTTGCTGATGTCAGATGATGAAGAGAATATCGTCTTTGTAAAAGAATAAGAGAAAAACGTGTAAAACTGTCATGTTAATATAGAAATAATTTTACAGTCACAACATCCCTGACTGTTTTTCCATAGGGTTACATATTATCAGATGAAAGCACTAATAAAGTATGAATTTGATACATTGTAAGCTGCTGGAAAAACACAATATAGCTCTGAGGAATTCAACTGGTTATTTTTGCTGCTAAACCAGCATAGGGCAAATTTCCTTGTAAATTGGTTAGAAATGAAGTTGAATCCTTCGCTCATCCCTTAAGATTGTGAAGATTTGGGAATGGATTTGTGTCTTGCAAGTCAGAGCCATTAATAACAGAGGGACTGGCAAATACAGGTTTGGAAATAGTGTGTGGTACAAGGGATCCATCTAAAGAGGCTGCACCTTAAATTTTTAACTTAGATAATTGTATTCTTGTTGACAACAGCTTGTTTTAACCAAAATATGTAGTGCAGGCACAAAACGCTTTAAAATGAGATGAGATGAGATGGAAGCTAGCTCTGTGAGTACGTCTCTAAGATTTTAAAAAGCTCAGTGCACTGTAAGTTTTCTGTTGTCAGTTTATGTCAAATTAAATTAAGATTTACTCTGACCTCTGTCTGTGGAGTTTTCGCAGCACACATTAGGAACAATATCAGTTCTGGTTTTTCCTTCTCTCATATCCTTCTACTTCCTTTGAAAACAAAACTTCTAAGCTAATTTTGGTGCTGATTTTTTTTTCCTCACAGAGTATTTATTAACCAATATACAGATGGAGTTACAAGCTTGTGAAGTTTGCTTGATTAAAGCATGCTTTACCCTTAATTTTGAAATAAATTAATATACC